GGTATTTCTGAACCCTGAGCAGGCAACCCTAGCAGTGAATAGCTAAGCATATATGCCTCGGGAGGCGGTGGATGCTCCTTCGCTGGACGTTTTCAAGCGGAGGCAGGACTAGGGCTGCCAATTCCCACCGGGGGGCGGATTCCCCCCCCCCGCTTTGGGGCCCGATTTCCGCCCCCGCGGAATCGGGCCCCCCCAGCGTGCCCGGTGTCATGACGTCACTTGCCTGTGACGTGCATGCCGCCCGCGCGTGCGTACTCCGGGAGCCACCCCAGAGTTCCCCGCCGGCGAGGTAAGTTGATTTGGCAATCCTAGGCTGGATGACCATCTTTCGGGTATGTTGTAGGGCTATCTTTCGGCTACGCTCCTGCAGAGTGCAGGGGGTTGGACTAGATGACCTGTAAGGTCCCTTCCAACTAACATTCTATGATTCTATGATTCTAAGAACCTATGGAAAATGAAAGGTTCAAAACGAGTTAGCTCGGCCAACACCACCACAGTTTGCATACAGGTGCTAGGACTGCTGTACTGTACTCTATGTAAAAACAGAAGAGGGAAGCACCATGTGTGCCTTCCTGAGCTCCTGGGGGAAATGATTCAAAATTTATCAGTATGCTAGTGAGAAAGCGCTAATCACACTAATCATAGTACTACAGCTTTAAAATGTTTTCATGGGTCACCAGTTTGCTTCAAAAGCCAATTGTCTTTTTTTTAATCTTGGAGGCCAATGAGCAGATTGTTAAAGTCATGATAGACCGGTGTCTGATTCTGCACCCCCTAGTGGAGAAGTAGACCTCTAAGCCAAACGGAGCACTCTGTGCTGCCTTTGTGGATTTCAAAACAGCATTTGACAGCATCCCCTGGAACGGACTCCAGGCAAAGCTTGAGAACTCAACAGATCGAAGACTCTGCATACTTATTCGCTCGCTGCATGAAGGAAACGTTCTCAAAGTAAGATGCAGTCCTCAAGGCCATCTCTCCAATAAGGTCCCACCTGACAAAGGAGTCAAGCAGGATTATATTCTGCCCCCCCCACTTTTTAACTATTACATCGACTCCTTGGTGCAACAACTAAGAAATCCAAGCTTCCATCTGCCAAAGCTTGCTGACAAAATGACCTCTGCCTCGCTATATGCAGACGACACCGTCATCCCACTCACAAGTGACCCTCAGGAGAGCACTCGGTGACGTTACCATATACTGCAAAGAGGAGCAGTTTGCGATAAACTATCAAAAACCAAAGGTCCTTATCTTTACTGTCCCACAGACCAAAATCTTTAAATACTTTGGTATAGTCTTCCAAACATCTAGATATTGAAGAGCTCAAGCATTGCATGCTGCTGAGAATGCCCACAGAGCATCCTCCACCATTCATCGATTCTACTTCACAAAAGGAGCTTCCTTTATCCCTGCAGCAATCAAGGTCTTCCAAGGAAAGGTTGTCTCCCAGCTCCTACATGGTTCCCAACTCTGTATCTATAAAGAAAGGTGCTCACTGGAAGCCATACAATCCAAGTTCTTGTGATCAATCCCTGGAGTCCTGTGCTGCGTCCCAAACACCCTCCTTAGATTAGAGACTGTTGGTCTCCTTGGAGACCCGTATGTGGCTCATCGCAGCCACCTATTGGTTAAAACTTGTCTTCAGTCTGCCTAGATCCTTGATGATAGCCACTGGTCAGCCTGGCAAAGAGCAATAGAGGGAAAACTCCAGGAGACTGGTCTCCCCCCCTCCCAAATCTTATTGTGCCTTGGGCACCAAAAAGCAAAAGAAACAGTTGAACAGCGTTTCTGGGATCAAGCTCTACAATCGGACAGAGCACAGACACGGAAACATCCAATTATTCTCCAATATACTAAGTGCTTTCACCCAGCAGATTACCTCAGATCCCTCACCATCTCCAAATACTGGAGAATCTTCACCTTTGCACACTTTAATGTTCTACCCTCAGCCCTCCTGGAAAGAAAGATATCATCATGTCCCACTCTCTCAACAGCTCTGCCCATGCCATCCAGGGAAAGTAAAGTCTATTGAACACGTTCTGTTGCACTGCCCATTTTGCAATGGTATCCAATCTCAATATACAGCTCCCATTTTGTCAACTTTACAAGGAGGATCTGAACAACTATACGTCTCCCTCCTCCTTACGAAATTTTGCCTTTGGGCATGTGGGATACGCAAACACCTGACTGAAGCCCAGAAATAGCTTCTCAGTCAGAGGAAAGCCACGCCATAACCAGTATTCCCTCTAAGCTGAGTTAGTGTGAGCCAGCTCACAGTTTTTTAGCCTCCGGCTCACACATTTTTGTCTTAGCTCACGAAGGATGGCTCCAGAGCAGACTAATCTATGCAGTAGCCAAATTGCTCACTCACAAAGTAGAATATTTGCTCACAAGACTCCACTGCTTAGAGGGAACATTGGCCATAACTTGTGTTCAACATTAAGTCCCAGTTGCACTGCATGTGCCCCTTTCCTTTCTATCCCTTTCTTTTATCCCATTCTTTTATCTCTTTCTCTTTTCTTCTTATTATTGCTGATTCTTTGGAGCTGATATTGTATTGAAATAAACAACTGATTGATAGATGGAGAAAGTCATGAGTAATTTTGACAGCTTTCTCGAATTGGCAGCAGGGGTAGACAAAACAGAGGCTTAGATTGTACAAACCCTTTGCAGGACTTTCAAGTCTTACTACTGCATAATTGTGGTATTTGAGCTGAGACTTATAAGGACATGTGAAGAACTACAGACTATAGACAAGGTCTTAGGCAGGAATGAAGAACCAGGCCAGTTACAGAACCTCTCTGCTCAATACTGGAAGCTGTGCCTGTAGTCCCTCTGATTTCTTAGCATTCCCATGGCTTCCGCTTTCCCCCCCTCAAAGTAATGGCTAAACATTTACTTTAAGAAATAAAAAACTGGGATTTCAAAATTTGTGCATTGTGTTCCTGAATTTATGCCGCTAAGAGCCAAGCCAGTTCACATGATCAGTTAACAATGCTAAGGAACTCATTTGATGGAACTGCAAGGTGCATGTCACAGAAGTTGAGTGGCTGAGCAGCGGTGCTATAAATGAGGGTCAAAAGAGCGAACAGTGAAATCGCCACACTAAAACATCCTGAACTCTGCATGGATCCAATGAATTCATATTCTTGACTCTTCGAATATATCAGGCCAGGTGATCCATACAAGTAACCCAAGATGAGGAATGCACATAATTGTGCCATACAGATAATTAAATTCAATGTTACCATATCTTTGGAATGAAACGCTGAGCATTTTATGGCAATGTTTTTTAGGCCTTGACTGCATGTCAACAAAGGAACCTATTTATAAATACACATACATTAAGGTAACTTCTAGCTCTCACTCAGCATAGAAATTGCTTAGCTCTCAAACATAGATTTTTACCAGTAACAAAATGTTCCATATCAGCATACCACCAAAGAACGCTACCGAAGTGTGATTAGCATTTGTGTGAACCAGGAGGACAGTTCTCATAGCAACTGCATTCATTTGACTCCCCCCCACTCCCCCAAACTGTACTTTTGGTTATTGTTTTGCTAGATTGGGTTGGTTCACAACAGAAGCAGAACAAATTCTTCTAGGCAGAACAGAACAAAATCATTGTTTGCCCTATTAAAAAACAATGCAGCTTCCAATATTAAGAATGTCTCAAAGTTCTGCACCACCCATCAGGAAGGGGTTCTAAAAATTAAGATGCTTCAGATTTTTCTATGCAAGCACGGAAGGCTTATAAATCCATCCCTCACCTATCACAAGTTGCTGGATAGGAAGGGAGATTCTGTGCAGAATATGTGAAATGGAGGTCATGGGAAGAAAATGCTACATACAAAAGGCTGCAGGCAGCGCTAAAAACTCATCACCACATGAGCCCATTCAAGACCACTTCTGATTTCTCAGCCTTCCCAGGTATTGAGTTCCAACAAGTTCTGTACGGGAAAAGGACTAAAGCCATTTAAACCAACAACAACAGAACCTGAGATTGCCAAAATGCCAGCCGCTGTTTTAGATAACAGGTTCAGCACTTGCACCACAAATCCAACAATGCAATTTCTTGCTTTCGAACTGCTAGGTTGGCAGGAGCTGGAACTAGAGACAGGAGCTCACTCCATCTTGCGGCACCCGGGTCTCAAACTGCTGGAACTACCAACCTTCCACAGCCTGCAGTTCAGCGTCTTAACCACTTGAGCCACTGCAGCTCCTTTGTGGCACAGTAAAGACTAACAAAAATTTATTCCAGCGTAAACGTTTGTGGACTAGTGTCCACTAGTGGACTAGTCTATGAAAGATTATGCTGGAATAAAACTCTTTTGGTTTTTAAGGTTCTGCAAGACTTCTATTTATTTTTGCTGCCACAGACTAAATGCAGTTGGCCCTTTGGAACTGATAGTGGCACAGAATCTTATGCTCCTGCATTCTGATTTAATACAAGATGTAAAGTTTGTGAGACTTTAAACACACTTAATGTGTGTGAGAGAGAGAGAGAGAGAGAGAGAGAGAGAGAGAGAGAGAGAGAGAGGAGAGAGAGAGAGAGAGAGAGATGTTAAATGTGGTGTAATCGAACCAGAATAATCTGTAGCAAGCTGTCACTTTGAGTGTTGAATATATAGATTACTGAACCAAATATTCTGTGGTAATGTATGGAATGCTTTCAATAATTGCTTCCTCTAACACATTATTTCCCCAGAAATATATTCTGCTTTTGAACCTCTGAGGTCAACCGCTCTTTTCGCTCTTGGAATGTGATCAAAAGTCACATGAATATTAAAGGTGCCATTTGCCCAAAGGGAAACCTCCTACTTTTTCATGCATTGCTAGACCTGTGACCACATCAAGCACAAGTTATATAGATGGAAATTAAAGCTTCAGAGGTCTGCAGATGGGTGCATGGTGCAAACAGGGAGCTTCAGTCCTCACTGTGTGGTAAGGCATGTCTTCAAGACAACACGAAACAACTTAACAACGGTGTTGAAAAACCTGACCTGCTTGACTTCTGCCTGCAGGTGCCGGAGCTGAAGGCACTGTTCTAGCCGCTTGTGTGTCTGATCAGCATTGAGCTCCAGCTCGTGCTGCTTTTCGTGAAGGAACTCCAGCAGCTCTTGTACTTGTGTGGCCAAATCGATGTCCTTTTCACAGATCAATTCAATGCCTGTAACGAAATAAATGTCCTCAGATGAAAAAGCAGGCATGTGTGCTGCTGCAACACAACAAAAAAAAGTTCCCTGTTAAAATGCTGTGATCTGTAACAACCATCTGACTCTTTCCATTGGTAATTTATTTCAGACAAACTCATTCACATTTACAGGTGCTCTGTGAAGCACTGAGAAGTCAATTTTCTAGCTCCTAGAATCTAGCAAATCGTATGTCTTCTCTGCAGCTGGTGACAGTAGAACATTACATAGCTAGAAAAAGGTTTATCTTTTGCTACTGTCAGTCAGGCCTATGACTACACGAAGTGACCATTTCGTAATCAATAGAAGAAGAGAAGAGATTGGATTTATATCTGCCCTTCACTTGGAGTCTCAGAGCGGCTTACAAACTCCTTTCCCTTCCCCTCCCCACAACAGACACCCTGTAAGGTGGGTGGGGCTGAGAGAACTCTGCCACAAACTGCTCTTTCAGGAACAGCTGTGCCAGAGCTTGTGATTGACCCAAGGTCACATCAGCAGGTGGAAGCGGAGGAGTGGGGAATCAAACCCGGTTCTCCTAGATTAGAGTCTACACACTTAACCACTACACCAAACTAGCCCTCTTCAATCAGACTGCTTTGTAATCAAAAAGAAGGGGGAAAACCTCTTCCATTATTTCTGTATTTGACTGACCTTATGAAACAGAGAGTACAGGTTAAATCTCTCCAAGGTTCACAACAAACAATTCATTGAGTCATGTGGATTAGGATGACATCACTCTTTTGCACTAAGTAATAAGACTAAATAAAAGAAAAATGGAACAGACTGATCCCCAGATATGAAAGGACTTTGAATCAACAAGCAGAAAGATGGATTTAGAGCCATTTTCATAGACTATTTCTGAATTCACAAGACCCAGATTGACTGATTCAGTGTGACTGCTCATGTTTTTTATACATTTGTATAGTAAGCTTGGGAATCAAGAATTAAAGCCTTGATTGCAGTGGAGAATGTAGTGTAAACAATGTGTAGCCTATGAACTCCCTTCAAGCTACTATGAATTCTTAAATGATATCTGCACCTATCTCTATGTGTGTAAAGTGCCATCAAGTCTCACATGGACACATGAAACTTCCTTATATGGAATCATACCCTTGATCCATCAAGGTCATTATGATCTACTCAGACTGGCAGCAGCTCTCCAAAGTCTCAGGAGGAGGTCCTTCACATCCCCTCCACAACCTGGTCCCTTTTAACTGGAGATGCTGAGGACTGAACCTGGAACTTTCTGCATGCCCAACAGAAGTTCTACCATTGAGCCATAGCCCCACTGGTGGACCTCCTGATGGCACTGGTATTTCTGGCCACTGTGTGATACAGAGTGTTGGACTGGATGGGCCTTTGGCCTGATCTGGCATCTCTTATGTTCTTATGTTCACCCCCCAGCAAATTTATGGTGATCCCCTCGAATTTTCAAGGCAAGTGATTAAGCAGAGGTGGTTTGCCATCATCTTCCTCTGCAAAGTCTTCCTTGCTGGTCTCCCATCCAAGTACTGACCCGGTTTAGTTACCCCCCAGCAAATTTATGGTGATCCCCTAGAATTTTCAAGGCAAGTGATTAAGGTGGTTTGCCATCATCTTCCTCTGCAAAGTCTTCCTTGCTGGTCTCCCATCCAAGTACTGACCCGGTTTAGTTTCGGAGATCTGATAAGAATAGGCTATACTATACCATTCCACATCCCCTGCATTTACCTAAGCGCATACAGTATCTAAGTAAATTACTAAAAAGCAGAAACTGATTTTAAAATTGGGGATCAGCTATCCTATGTATTGCTACAACTAACTCTGTTAAAACACTAGAGGGAACCTTAGGCAAAGCAATTGATTGTGAGCCCAGCAGGGTTCCCTCTAAGCTGAGTCCGTGTGAGCCAGCTCACAGTTATTTAGCCTCTGGCTCACACATTTTTGTCTCAGCTCAGGAAGGGCTGGCTCCAGAGCAAACTAATTCACACAGTAGCCAAATCGCTCGCTCACAACCTTAATGCCAGTAGCTCACAAAGTAGAGTTTTTTGCTCACAAGACTCCACAGCTTAGAGGGCGCATTGGAGTCCAGTACAACTCTAGTGAAGTGAGTGCCAGTGTAATTGTTTTATCTAGGTAAACAGAAAACAGTTTCAGCGCTGAGTTTTGGACTGCCGGGAGATATTTTCAGATTCTATCTATAAATTAAATGCAATTGCTCATGGGCCACCTGCTTCCAGCAGACGTTTTGGAAGCTATTTCCAATAGAATCACTGCATCTAAAACCAAGTTTTTTATTATTAGGTCTGAATTATTATATTCATTCAGAATTTCAAAGAAATAATTTATACTGTCATGATACATGACTCACTCACTCACTCACTCATTCATTCATTCATTCATTCATTCATTCAAAAGACTAGTTAATCTGTCTTGGAACTTTACAATTTTAAGGCACTGGAAAAGCAAGGAACAGCAAGCAAAAAGCAAACAAATATACACAGACACACAAAACCCAATTTTCAAATGGTTCCTCCATTGTTCTTTTCAGCTAGCCAAGGATGGGACAGATACTGGGATGCCTAGAAGAGGGACTGCATTAAAAGTAGATAAGGAGGTACGGGTACAAGGTAGTGAAGAGAAATCTTTATTGGGTGCAGAGTCAAAAGAAGTCCTCAGACAAGGGGGAGATCCCCACTTAGGAATGGGCAGCATTCATATGATACAATGATGGTATGCAGAAAGTATAGTCTACTAGAACCTTTGGGTAAGATGGTAAATGTTTTCAATCAATTTGCAAACCGTTAAGGGCAAAATTCTGGCCCCTAAGCATTTGTGTTTTTTTGGGAGGGGGGAACCCCACAAATTATATTTTGAAAACTAGCTATGTCTCTGTACGTTTTGGAAAAATCATCCCACCCAGTAAATTCCATGAGAATTTTCCCAAAAACAACAAATTCAAAGGAGTACTTAAAAAAAAAAAGTTATTCTTTTAATACAAGTCAGCATTTGAGAAGACTCAGCTTGTAATTGTGTATTCCAGCAATGTGGCATAAAACTGTGTGACATGTGACAAGAGAGAAAGGGCAAATCATTCATCACAGGGGGTGCTGTCTGCCCTTTGATATCCCGGGCCCTTTACTGATTGCCACTGATGAGTTATCTCAATCAGAAATACACCAGCCGTGTGTGTGTGCGCTTGTGATTGAAAATTGTGAATGTAGTCAAGATCAAAGAAGTGTAGTGTAGTCAAGGATACTAAAAATGCTGGCAAAGTCCTGAGGACACAACATCATAGGCAGGCTAATTATAACAAATGTGTGTGATGCCTGGCATTTAAAAAGAACCTTACTCCCGAAGGGGAGGATAGATTACCAGGCTCTAAATGGTGACGTTCAAGAGCCATTCTATCTTATTTCGTAATGAAGAAGTCACTTCCCTTGGGCCAAGAAATAATAAACTACTCGTTTTCACTTCTATGGGCTACACACAGGAATTTGCAAGACCACATATCCCAGGATAGCAATGCTTTGGCTTGTCTCCAACTTGAATTTCCTTGCCCTTTAAGAACACTGAAACTGAAAGGGGTGATTGTTTTAATAGCCCCCCAATTAATCAGGGTGTGGATTTTCCACATCTTCATTGGTATCTCAAAGTAGTTGACTGGGCTGAGATGTAGACTCTGGTATATCTGGCTGTCCTCAACAGAGCCGGGGCCTTTTCAGCCCTGGCACCAGCCGGGTAGAACTTTCTGCCTAATAATATCTGTACCCTGCAGGACTTAAAACTGCTCTGTAGGGCCTGTAAGACAAAGATGTTCTACCAGGACTATGGTTGAGAACAATGTTTACCATCAAGCCTGGCCTCCTTGTCTCCTCCATCAAGGGAGGGTGCATAATGTCTAGCACCATCTGATCCGTTTTGATTACTACTGGTTCATTGTTTTAAATTTTAGCCTGTCTGTCTGTCTGTCTATCTATCATCTTGTCTGTCTGTCTGTCTATCTGTCATCTGGTCTGTCTGTCATCTGGTCTGTCTGTCTGTCTGTCATCTTGTCTGTCTATCTATCTGTCATTTTCTCTGTCTGTCTGTCTATCTACCATCTTCTCTGTCTGTCATTTTCTCTGTCTGTCTGTCATCTTGTCTGTCTGTCTATCTATCTACCATCTTGTCTGTCTGTCTGTCTGTCTGTCTGTCTGTCTATCTTGTATTTATTAGAATTGTATTTATAAATCATTGTCAACTGTCCTGAGCCCCACTGGGGAGAGGGCAGTATATAAACAAAACAAGCCCCCCAATTAATCAGGGTGTGGATTTTCCACATCTTCATTGGTATCTCAAAGTAGTTGACTGGGCTGAGATGAAGACTCTGGTATATCTGGCTGTCCTCAACAGAGCCTTTTCAGCCCTGGCACCGGCCTGGTAGAACTTTCTGCCTAATACTATCTGTACCCTGCAGGACTTAAAACTGCTCTGTAATGCCTGTAAGACAAAGATGTTCTACCAGGACTATGGTTGAGGGCAACGTTTACCATCAAGCCTGGCCTCCTTGTCTCCTCCATCAAGAGAGGGTGCATAATGTCTAGCACCGTCTGTCTGTCTGTCTGTCTGTCTGTCTGTCTGTCTGTCTGTCTGTCTGTCTATCTATCTACCTACGATCTTGTCTGTCTGTCTGTCTGTCTATCTTGTATTTATTAGAATTGTATTTATAAATCGTTGTCAACTGTCCTGAGCCCCACTGGGGGGAGGGCAGTATATAAACAAAACAAATAAAAATAATAAATAATAACAATAATCCTCAGGTATTAATACCATGAAAAAGAGACAGTGCAGGGGGGAAAGATCTTGATTCAAAAGAGAAACTCTTTTCTGATCCTCCCCCCTTCTAGGCCTGCTTAACATTCCTTAGAAGGCAAAAAGATGAAGGCTTTGAGATCCATGTGCTCCTTAATTTTTTGTGGGCTTTTATTTTATTCTGAAAAAAGGATTGTTCAGGAGGGTATTAAGGCTGTCAATACTTTTAAAATGGGAACAGGATTGTAGCTTATTCCGCTGTTGATCTTGTTCTTGTTGCATTGTTTTCTTTTACTTTTGTCACTCTGTTTTTTGCACCATTTATGACCTTTCACGTCTAACGTTGCATTGTTTCCAATTTTTGTGGCCATCGTCCTACTGCATCGCTCGTTGGATGCTTCATGAACATACAAAGCTGCCTTATACTGAATCCAACCATTGGTCCATCCAGGTCAGTATCCTCTACTCAGACTGGCAGGAGCTCTCCAAGGTCTCAGGCTGAGGTCTTTCCCATCACCTACTGCTTGGTCTTTTTAAGTGGGAATGCCAAGGATTGAACCTGCATGCCAAGCAGATGCTCTACCACTGGGCCATGGGCCCTCCCTTATTTGACTGCATTATCTTAAAGTATGCAATCCTCCATGAGACTCAGCAAGAAAGGCAGACTACAAATAAAGTGAGTATATCAATAAATAAAGATGAAAATAAGCCAATATAAACCTTAAGGATGTGGTCAAACTGGAAGTAGAAATCAAATTAAAAATTGTGGTAAGTTCACCGGGAGCTATTTTATCCAATTTCATTTAAAGATAGCAATCCTGTGCATATTTCTTTGGTAGCAAGTTCTACGGAATAGCATTAGTCCGCTGGATAGACGGGGTGGGATAAATAGCTTGAATCTCTTTTGCTGCAGAGGCACAACTTGTTTTTGTTACCCCTTTAGAAACCTGAATAGGTCTCTCTGGCCGATTTCCCACAAGTGCTGCTCCATGCTCGCTGTTCCCTTTTGCCCCGATGGTACGTGTCAATTTCACACAAGCTGCTGCGCGGCCGCATTTTGCCCCTGTAATGTATTCAATAGCAATACATGAATCATCTAATTGAAGCACAATGTTAAGCTTTGTCCTGGGCTAGGATCCAAATCCATCCAATCGCATTGGTAGCCCAGGAAGAACCAACCAATCACTTGTCAGCAAGCTCCCTGAGCGGGAACGTCCGTGATTGGTCCTTTATGCATACAACCTTATTGGCTGGTAAATGTACAGTAGGCGTGGCTACATTAGCCGGGAGAGTTTAAAAGGAGGACAGCTGCAATGTAAAAGCTGTTCTGGCTATCAGATGTTGATCCGTGTTGGAGTTGTGTTCGAGTTGTTGAATAAAGCTGAATCTTTGCTGAATCACCCTCCGACTACTTTGTTAAGCAAGCGACATAACAGCCCCAGAGCTTCACACGGTGTCTACTCAATCCTCAAAAAACAGGATTGAGTAGACGTGGGGAAAATCATGCGAAGCTGCGGGGCAAAATGCAGCTGCGCAGCAGCTTGTGTGAAATTGACACATACCATTGGGGCAAAAGGGAAGAGCGAGCGTGGAGCAGCGCTTGTGGGAAATCGGTCTCTCTTTATTTGGTCCCACAGTGAGGGGCTATGGTTCAGCATGCAGGCCATCTCTTTTGCATACTGAAGGTCCAGTTAAAAGGATCAGGTAGTAGATGATGAGAAGGACCTCGACCTGAGGGCCTGGTGCCAGTCAGAGCAGAAAATACTGACCTTGATAGGCCGACAGTCTGGCTCAATATAAGACCATTTCATCTGTTCATACGAGTTAGGAAGTCCCATGCATGGGTCCAAAGTCAGACAATCCAGAACGCATAGTGCTGCCCTAAGCAAAGTTGCTCCCTTCAAAGTTTACTGGCTACAACAGATGCAGATGTGTGTCATTTGGCTTAGAATGGCATTACCCTATGTCTTTTCTCTTTCTACTATAATAAGCACAGGTCCCTGTCACAGAAATATCTCTGCTCATATTACATTTGCGTACTGCAGCGTTTGCCAGTCACTAGGCTTGCCAAGTCCCCCCGGGGGTCAGGGAAACCCCTGCCGCTGGTGGATCGGGCCCCGAGGGGAACTCCACCCCGACGTGCACGTCGCCCGGAAGTGACGCGGGCACGCCGGGCACGCTGGGGGCGGGGCCACGGTCATCAGTTCTAACTTGGCAACCCTACCAGTCACCACCGTCTAGCCTACCTGAGGCCTGGACTTCCATAATGTACTGGTGCAAATCTTGCCCTTGCTGGATGACCTCAAAGGTCATGTTGTTCATAGCCAGCTTCCGTTCCGTGTGTCGCTGCAGGCGCTGCTCTGCTAGAGTCAAGTCCTCCGTATTGAAATCATTCATTTGCCTTAGCAAGTCCTCATTCCAGGCATCTAATTCAGCCGTCACCTTCAAAGTAAAAGCAAGTGAAGTAGGGTAAACATTCAAAGCTTTCAAAAATCTGGTTACAAAAATATACTATCAAACATGACTTCATCTTCTCTAATTACAGCCTCTAATTCCCAGCCAAACAAATTTAACAGATTAGTATATAAGTTTCAATGAGGTTCAGGGGCAAGGCATTATTTATCACTGCACTGAAATCTGACCTATGTAACTGTGTATTTATATAATAGCGAAGTCTGGCTCCCATCTGCAGATACCAAAATCCATGGATTGGAGCCACACTGATGCTAAAAAGACTTTTCTGCAAACCTGGGTGATCCCCTAGGCCTGCAAGAAGTTCCTAAATCTTAAATTGCCACTCAGATTGCCCCTCCTTACTGTTGGAGCTGGGGGTGGACGCTGCAGGAAGCTGCTCTGGCCCTGCCAGCGTGATGCTGGAAGAGGCTCCTAGACACGAGTTCAAAGGTGGGTGGTGGGGCTGGGAGCTGGGCAGATAGGTTCTCCCTTCACCCACGAGTGTTGCAACCCCCCCCCTCGTATAACCTAAAAGGCTATGCTGGGATAGGATAGGGATATATGAAATAGTGTATAAAACTATTTATTTTTTTAACATGTATACAGGTTTGTTTTTTTAGTTTTTTCTTGTGTTTGCCTTAGAAGAACATGCTTTACTGATGGGTAATGGAGGATAGAGATAGTAACTTCCTCATGACCAGGGCTATTTTGGGGCAGGAACGCACAGGAACGGAGTTCTGGCTGGCTCCCGAGTTGGCCACTCCCATCAGGAACTCATTAGCATAATAGGCCACACCCAACAGCAGAAACTCATTAGGATTGGCTACATTAGGGGTGTGTGGCCTAACATGCAAAGGAGTTCCTGCTACAAAAAAGCCCTGGGTTTTGACAACAAACAAGGTAAACAGAATAACAAGCGAAAGGTGGGTGTGGCTGGATAACCACACTTCTGGTAACATGGGGGTGTGGCCTAATATGCTAATGAGTGGTGCTGTCAGGGGTGTGGCCCGATATGCTAATGAGTTCCTGCTGTTGGGTGTGGCCTATTATGCTAATGAGTTCCTGCTGGGCTTTTTCTACAAAAAGAGCCCTGCTCATGACCATGCAATTGTTTTATGTTAATTGTTTTATGTTAATTCAGTTGTTTCATGTCCAGCTCTCTGTCAGATGGGCAATGCTGGCTTTTAAAAATTCTATTTTTAAAAGCCAGCTGCCAAACTTCTGTGCTTCAGTTTCAATATGTACTATACTTATCTGTGAAGCTCAGTTAAATCTTGAAATATGTTGCCTATTTTGTATTAGCTAGAACTACATCAGGACACCATCTTTCAACTTACACGGTCCTGTTTGTGTTGCACTTATGAAGCTTCTTCAGACCAGATGTAAATTTGGCTGTTGAGTAGTTTAATCTGGTTCCCACTTCAGCTAGAACTGATGGGCTGGAATATGTCTGAACAACTCAGTTTTTAGTTAGGACCAGCTTGTGGTATAGTCTACATTCCAAAAGGGTTTCTCCTTAATGTTCAGGATGCTACTATCATTATTCTTTATAGTAAATTTCGAAAGCAGATCGGAATTTGCTTTCTGATCAATTTGGAATGTACAAATGTACCCTTGTTTTAATATGTTGGCATGTAAGCTTTTTGTTCATGCATGTTGCTGGCATTCGTTATTTGTTTATGGAATGTTTATGCCATTTATATACAAGTGATGCAAATACAGGCATTAATGGTTCTGTCAAATTTCATTAGCACAGCTGGGGAAGACAGACAATAGTAATTTTATCTTAAATGGAAAGAACCCATGTTAGAAACTTGGATTTGGGAATCTAAAAGACTTGGCCAACCTGAAAAATCAGCAGTGGCTGAACATAGCCTAACTCAAACAGGACACAGTATTTTGTTCCAAGACACTGAAAGGCTAGACAACACTTCCAATTACCATGTCAGATTACACATGGAAGCCACTGAAATTCATAAACATAAACACAATTTCAACAGGAAAGAAGAGAGTTTAAAAATAAATAGGGCATGGTTTCCTGTCCTGAAAAACACAAAAGGCTCTACATCTGACAATAGCACTACAGATAAGATTAGAATTTCAACAGCCAATCCACATACAAAAGAACCGCCTCAGGAAACAGGAAACCTCCTCAGGGAACAATCCATATACAGATGAACCTCCTTAGGAAAGCTCTTCCATTAGCATGTTCATAGCCTGGGGAACTCCTACAAGATAATGACTCAGCCCTACCCCACCTTCTGGAGTAGATATAAATTACCTGCCTACCATTTTCTTCTCACCTTGACACAGAGAGTACTCCATCTGTCTGTGTTATACCTCTGAGGATGCCCGTCACAGCTACTGGTGAAATGTCAGGTTCTACAATGCCAAGACCATGGCCACACAACCCGGAAAATCTACAGCAACTATTCTAAAAGTTTATTGACAAATTCAATAGCACCTCTACTGTGAATATATTCTCTACTTCTGATGCTGTGGAAGCATTTTTAACCTTGTAGATTCCTGTTTGTGTACAAAACCATGCAGTTAAATTTGTGATACAGCAGCAGATACTGATTGTT